CAGCTTGGCCCTATGTAAGTATACATATTTTATACCTAGAAGGGCCACGGGGATCCTGCAAAACAGTGTAGTAGCCACAGCTACTGCAACATTCACAGTGGTGTCATGGTTAAACATCACACTGTAAACTTTAACATGTTAATGTAATTTCAAAAGTAATTAAATTTGCAACTAACAGGGTTATTCACAAAAGGGTGAAGAGTTTGGAGAAGGCAGGAGAAGTGAACAATCTAGGACAACATAACTGAACTGGAAAGTGAGCTGAATTGGAGAATGTTTCCAAATCAGCTATTTTGGCCTAAATTGTTCACTTCTCCTGCCTTCTCCAAACTCTTTGCCTTTTTGTGACTAATCCTGTTAATGTAGTGTATATCGTGCACCATTACCAAGCTCTATGGTTTAAGACCCTCAATACTGGCATGCTAATTTATTTACAAACAATTGTTTTCTTTTATATAGTAAATAAAGCAGTTCTTAACTACCACCAAAAGAAAGCTATATCGGTTTCAAAAAATTACCGTATTTTGCGGTCCATAAGACGCACCGGACCATAGGACGCAGGGAGGTCCAGTGCGCCTTATGGAGCACTCGGCAGACCATAGCTTCTGTCACAGCTTCTATGACAGAAGCTGTGACCGAAGCTGCAGTTTGTGACCGCTGAGACAGGTGGCGCTGTGATTACACAGAGCAGAAGAAGAACGTCCGTTCTTCGTCTGCTCTATGGTGATCTCGATCGCCTCCGCTGCTCGGTTTTAATACAAGTGATCTCATTAGATCACTCGTATTAAACGAGCAGTGGCTCCTACTGCTGATCTCGATCGCCGCCGCTGCTGCTCGGTTTTAATAAGAGTGATCTCATTATCTCAATCTCCCCATCTGTATGCAGCGGGGATCCAAGAAGTGAAAGAAGCGCTGCAGCCCACGGCGGAGGAGGGAGCCGCTGTCACAGAACTAAGGCCGAGCAGTGAGTGTTTGTAAAAAACTGGGGACACATAGTACTATGTGTCCCCAGTTATGAATGAACAGGATAATGAGTTTCTCAATGGGGAGAAGCACTCACTACAGAGGCTCCTCCCCATTCAGAAACTGGATTATAGTAAAATATATTTCTGAATGAATGTGAAGCCTCTGTGCTTTCCATTCATTTAGAACAGAGGCTGCAGAAAAAGAGATTGAGGACTTTGTGTCCTCAATTTCTTTTTCTATTTTAAAAGGGAAATATCATGGGGCTGTTTTGACCCCTAATATTTCCCCGAAGCTCCCCCCCAAGAGTAAAAATAAAAAAAAATGTAATAATAAAAAATCAAATAAAAAACAGTATAAAATAAATAAATAAATCAATCCTGGAGGCGGGGCACTGGGTGACATCACACGCCTGCTTGGGGGGGGGAGACGGACGACACACACACACGGTTTTCTTTCTTGCCTCGTGCACAAAAGGAGCTGGCTACGGCTATGCGGGTGCTCGTGCGGCTGCCGAATGTGGCAGATGGAAAGGGGCGGGACACCTCTCCCTATGTGCAACATCGGCCACACGAGCACCGCAGGAGGACAGGACGCCGGGGGCCTCTAGGACGCACTGGAATGTAAGCCGGCCGACTCCCTGCGTTCAGGGGCGGGAGGGGGTTGTATTGAAGTCAATGGGACCGCAGCCATGCCCCCCGCCCACAGTGCGATCG